GTTGACTTGTCCAGTGAAGATGCACATCTTGGTTGTGACGTCATAGTTCGAGCTCGTTATGACGTCCTTTTATACGGTAAAATACAAGTGAAAACTAAGTAATTCGTTTCAGGTACTGAAAGTAAAAAGGGAAAGGAGAAAAAAAAAAAAAAAAAAAAAAAAAAAAAAAAAAAAAAAAAAAAAAAAGGAAAAGAAGGATAGAACACGGCTTAGCTTATTTCACTGAAACCGAAGTATCTATGGCTGTTGTCAAGAAAACTAAACCCTTAAAGGGATAAAAGTCTAAAAACTAATATTGCAAAATCAACGATAGTCAACGACTGACACGTAATTTATCCTAAAAGGCCTAAATTTAATATCACATGAAGCTGTCATTAGCGGTCTTTCAAACACTGTACGCCTATAGGCGGTGCATGCTTCATCGCGCGCTTCGAAACCCAGGTAATAACCTTTGTCCTGAGACGCTCATAAACAACATCAAGTTTTCCATTCCGTGGGCTTCCTGTGGTGCGTTTACGATTTAGTCATACTGTGTCACGGATTGGCAGTTGATCAGACTAGGTTCAGCTTCAGCAGATCTTTATCATACTAGATCATAGCGATAAATATTCATAGGTTCTACCCGTGTCAGTACGGGGCGCTAAAACGGACATTTTCTATGGTTATTAGTAAAGCTATCTTCGAACTCTGAATGAAATTACTGACCCAAAAAAAGTCGCTCAAGCACTAGTTTTTAAAAAAAATCAAAGCTGTTTAAACATCAGTAAATCATGTGATGTCACAGCATGTTAAGAGTCGGCATTGAAATCATCAAATGATATGCAAATCAATGTTTTATATTGATCGATAAAGAAAACCGAAAATAATATCAAGCTCTTTGATTCGTCAAGTGAAGACAAAATAATTTACATGACCATATATAAATGAACATACAAACATTCATGGTCAACTGACCCCTCCCCCCTTCGGAGATTTGAATGCTTGCCTTGTATATATTGCAATCAGAAGTTCATCCTTGTATCAAACACGGCGGGTTAGCAGTCTGTGCGTCGTAACTTCCACAGAGAGTAGATAAATTCAATAAAACACAAACAAGTTTGTTGTGTCGATCTTCTACATCCCATCTCAGAGCAGAAAGACAGTCCACTAATTGCAAATAAACAAAATGGTAAGAGTTTTGATTGTTTTACTTTGAGTTTAACCTGTGCATTCACTCAAGGCACCGCCCTCGTCTTTGAAGGTATCTAACTGGATATATTGTATTTATTTTAGCGTGAATGTATCTCAATCCACGTTGGACAAGCCGGTGTTCAGATAGGTAATGCTTGTTGGGAGCTGTACTGTCTTGAACATGGAATCCAGCCCGATGGTCAGATGCCGAGCGACAAGACTCTTGGTGGCGGTGATGACTCGTTCAACACTTTCTTTAGCGAGACCGGTTCTGGCAAGCATGTCCCTAGAGCCGTGTTTATCGACTTGGAACCTACTGTAGTCGGTGAGTCTTTTCTTTAGTGTTTCATGCTTCTTTTAGTCAGTTGTTCTGAACCGATGAACACAACCAAGATGTGCTAACCGTTCATTTCAGCATCAAGTTATAATATTTTCAAATATTTAATCATATTAATAATTTATACTATACTATATAAATTCGTTGTTACTCGAAGATTATTCCAAAAGGTCTTTTTTAACGGAGTATTCATTCCAGATTTTTTTCTCTCATGAAATCTTAAATCAGTCATATAAGTGAAACACAGGTCTTTTCTTTTCTGTCAGCTTTGCTTCACAAACCTGAATAATGATCAATGAAAAACAGATTGATTTTGATATCTTAAGAATCACGTTTGGGTTTGCCAAATACTGATTCTTGAATAATGTCTGGCTCGTTTGCAAAGTAATTGTACCATTTTATTATAATTATTCCTTATTTTTGTTGTGTAAGAGGTAAAGAAAACAATAAGAATCAAAACCAGTTGGAAGTTATTACAATGAGGCAGCAATCGTTTCGTCAGTCTAGCTTTCTTTCCATTTCACTTTCGTTCATGTACGGTCAAAGAGGAAGTTAGTCGTCGCCTGAGACAACTCTTCACTGGATTCAGGCGATAACCTGGTCGAAACGAAAAATTTACATAAAAAATTGTCCTTTCGTTACAGCTCTATACATATGCATGTTTGTGAATGGATCGCCTGTTGCCTAAGAAATACCGAGAAAAAATATTAGATTTCATTGTTTAAAATTTAACAGTATGCTTAAGAGTTCTGCTCGATTGAGGGAAATTAAAATCTAATTTACAAATCAATGTGAAAAATGGAAAATTATGTGTGATTTTTCAATTCCACTTGACTGGTCGCGTGTTCAGTTGATTTTGATCAGAATGTCTAGCGTCTTTGCGCTGAAACAACAATGTTTCATCTTGCTTGAATGACACCTAAATGTCGGCATTTGTTTGGAAATTATATATTTTCTGTCATTTTCATAAGACACCTATTTGTGATTAATTACAGTATTTAGCAAAGATACAAACTGAATGAGTAACAAGGCTACAGAAAGAGATTGATGACATCATGGTAACAAATAACCAGTTGGTTGTCGAGTCTTTTTAGGCTTTTGTCTCCACTGTTATTAGCACAGGTCAAGCCACAATACTCACTGTTGCATTAATCTCAGCGGCTACAGGAAATCTTGATGGATTTGTAGATCAAACTGTGCCGTGTTTTGTTTTTTACTAACCATTATCTGTTGAAGCATCTTTAACACTATTCCATCCATGTTTTTTTTCATTTTCTTTTTTTTTTTTTCTTCTTTTTTTTTTTCGTTTTCCCATTTTGCTTAGTAACCTAGGGGACGTGACTATATTATTATTTTCTTTCTATGGAGATGTGGAAAATAATGATACATTTTGACTGATTGGACTACGTGATGACGGCTAGGGGCCATTCGGTCAATTAACATATTGGTTGTTCAGTAACATCTTCACAAAATGCATTAACTTGTCGAAGAAAACACGGGGAAAAGCCGGAAAAAAAGCGATACCAGCTGTAGCACTCAAATGGTTTCCGGCGGCTATGACTTATCATCCAGTCTTGCGAGGCAATTGCTTTAGTTTTTTGTATTGTTGAGCGCATCATTCTGTTTTCCCACAGATGAAGTACGAACAGGTACCTATCGTCAGCTTTTCCACCCTGAGCAGCTTATCACCGGTAAAGAAGATGCAGCGAACAACTATGCAAGA